CCTTTTTTTTTTTTTTTGAGATAGCATCTCACTCTGTTGCCCTGGGTAGAATACTGTGGCATCATAGCTCATAGCAACCTCAAACTCTTAAGCTCAAGAGACCCTCTTGGCTCATCCTCAAAAGTAGCTGGCACTACAGGTGTCTGCCACAACTCCTGGCTAGTTTTTCTATTTTTAGTAGAGATGGGGTCTACCCACCTTGGGTTCCCAGAATGCAAGCATGAGCTACTGGTCCCAATTCTTAGTTATGTTTTTTAATCTAACGCATAAAGTTGAATCATATTTGTTTTCCTTTTCCTTCTCTGCCAGTCTTTGTCCTATTTACATTTAAAGTAATCATTAATAAGAAGGGACTGACTTCTGTTGTTTTGCTAACACTGGCAAGAACAACTCAGCATGGCAGAAAAGTTAAGGAAGTTAAGAAGTTAAGCTGGTATAAATTCAAGTTAGAGTACTATAACTTTAAGATGCTAAGAATAATCCTCATGGCAACTACAAAAATAAATAAATAGCTATAAAAGGTATACAGAGGAAATGACAAGGAATTAAAATATCTCACTACAAAAAAAAAAATCAACCAGGATGGCACCTGTGGCTCAAAAGGGTAGGGTGGGCACTGGCTCTGTATGCTGGAGGTCGTGGGTTCAAACCCAGCCCCAGCCCCCCCCACCAAAAAAAATCAACCAAACACAAGAAGTAGTAATATAGGAAATAAGGAACAAATAAGTTATAAGGCATAGAGGAAACTAATGTAAAATAGCAGAAGTCTGTTCCTCCTTATCAGTGACTATTTTAAATGTAAAATGGATTTAACTGTCAAACAAAAGACAAAGATTACCAAAGTGAGTAAAAAAAACATGAACTGAGTGGTTTTCAGTTGGGAGCCTATGGCTCAAAGGAGTAGGGCATCAGTCCCATATACCAGAGGTGGTGGGTTCAAACCCAGCCCCGACCAAAAAAAAACAAAGAAAAAAAACCAAACCATGAACTAACTAGTTCATGCCTATAATCCTAGCATTTTTTCTGAGGCTAGGCGTTGAAGACCAGCCCGAGCAACAAAACAAAACCCCCTTACCTCTGCAAAAAATATAAACTTTAGCTTAGTATAGCGGTGCCTCTCTGTACTTCCAGCTCAGGGGTCCTCAAATTTTTTAAACAGGGGGCCAGTTCACTGTCCCTTGTTGGAGGGCTAGACTGTGGGCCCCAGGATGAGTCAGCTGCTAAGCAGGACAGGCAGCAGTGGCAAAAACACCAGGCAGGCCAGATAAATGTCCGAAGCAGGCCTCAGTTTGAGGACGCCTGTTCCAGCTACTTGGGAGGGTGAGGCAGGAAAATGACTTGAGTTTGCAGCAAGCTATGAAAATAACATTGCACTCTAGACTAGGCAATAGAGCGAGACCCTATCTCAAAAAAAAAAAAAAAAAAATTGAAAAAATTAACGTTATACTGGGCTCGGCTCAACCAGCTAAGGTGCCAGCCACGTACACCTAAGGTGGCGGGTTCAAATCCAGCCCAGACCCGCCAAACAACAATGACAGCTGCAACCAAAAAATAGCCGGGCGTTGTGGCGGGCGCCTGTGGTCCCAGCTACTTGGGAGGCAGAGGCAGGAGACTCACTTGAGCCCAGGAGTTGGAGGTTGCTGTGAGCTGTAATGCCACAGAACTCCACCCAGGGGGACAGCTTGAGGCTCTGTCTCAAAAATAAAGAACGTTATACTGGTCTGCAAAAAGCTATTCTGTGCAAATAATAACCAAAAGAATGCAGAAGTTGCCATGCTAATATCAGCCAATAGACATATTAAATCAAAAAGGATAAGCTGTTCCTCACACTGTTCCCTCTGTGATGTTTTTTAATATTGTTATGTCCTGAAGTATGCATATGTCCTTTAATAGTTCCTTAATACCAGTTACAGTTGAGTCAGACTTTCCAGGGCTTAGACACACTCTTCACAGCATCAGCAGATACGATCCTGCTAAAAGCCACTGACAGAGGACATTAGAAGCATATAGCCTATGCTTCTTATCCTGGGCCACAACTGACCATTATGCTCTGTGCCTGGTAAGACCTATCCTATTCAGTGACCTTAACGGGCCAGTAATGCACAACAGGGGCTTCCTCAACCTGACCCCCAACACCCTTTTCCTGAAAAGAATCCCATGGACTGATTCTTTGCTGTGTCAGACACACATTTGTGATTGAGTTGCCCCCTCCTAATAAAGGCAACATGTACTTCACCATCACTTCTGTGCTTCCAGGTTGTTGGCGTGAAGTAGAGTACCAGGGGGCACCTTCTGAACAAAGCATTGCTATAAAAGGAGTGTCACAGATCAGGACTCCCAAGGAAAATTCATCCTCCCAGAATGCCTACCCCTGTAAAATATGTGGTCTGGTCTTTAGAGATACTTTGCATTTGGCTGAGCACCAGGAAACACATCATGGGCAGAAACTGTACACATGTGGAAAACAATTCTTCACTGCAGACCTTCAACAGCATAAGAGACAGCATGTTAGAGAGGTACCCTTCAGAAGTTCTGTGGACAGCGCTTCATTTATAAAGAGTTGCACAGTCCGTGTGTTAGGGAAGCCCTTTACCTGCAGGGAGGTTGGAAAGGGGTTCTTGGCCAGCATGGGATTTCTCCATCAGCAGGACATTCACACAGAGGAGAAGCCAAATAGCAGTAACAAATGTGGGATGGTCTTTCACAGTGGAGAAAGTCATCACAACTGGGGAGAATACAAGAAAGCTTTCTGTCACACAGACACATTTGTTCAGGACCAGAAAATCCTCACCAAAGAACGGCTTTTTGAGTGCAGCAAATGTGGAAAAGCCTGCACTCGAAGATGTAACCTCATTCAACACCAGAAAGTCCACAGTGAAGACAGGCCTTATGAATGCCATGAATGTGGAAAATTATTTACCTACTACTCCAGTTTCATTATACATCAAAGAGTTCACACTGGAGAAAGGCCATATGGGTGCCCTGAATGTGGGAAATCTTTTAGTCAGATCTACAGCCTTAATAGCCATAGGAAAGTTCACACTGGAGAAAGGCCTTATGAATGCAGCGAATGTGGGAAATCTTTCAGCCAAAGGTCCAATCTCATTCAACATCAGAGAGTTCACACTGGAGAAAGGCCTTATGAATGCAGTGACTGTGGGAAATCTTTCAGCCAAAACTTCAGCCTGATTTACCACCAGAGAGTTCACACTGGAGAAAGGCCTCATGAGTGCAGTGAATGTGGAAAATGCTTTAGCCGAAGTTCCAGCCTCATACACCACCGGAGACTTCACACTGGAGAAAGGCCATATGAATGCAGTAAATGTGGGAAATCATTTAAGCAAAGCTCCAGTTTTAGTTCACATCGGAAAGTGCACACAGGGGAACGGCCTTATGTGTGTGGGGAATGTGGGAAATCTTTTAGCCATAGCTCCAACCTTAAGAACCACCAGAGAGTTCATACTGGAGAAAGGCCTGTTGCATGCAGTGAATGTGGGAAATCTTTTAGCTGTAAATCTAACCTCATTAAACACCTGAGAGTTCACACTGGAGAAAGGCCTTATGAATGCAGCGAATGTGGGAAATGCTTTAGCCAAAGTTCTAGCCTCATTCAACACTGGAGAGTTCACACTGGAAAAAGGCCTTATCAGTGTAGTAAATGTGGGAAATCTTTTGGCTGCAAATCTGTCCTCACTCAACACCAGAGAGTTCACCCTGGAGAAAAGTCTTAGCTATGCAGGGAATGCAGTTTTCTTTTAGTGTAATTATAATGGAGGGGAACACTTGTGAGAGAGCCATCTATATGAATTGAAGCCCCAACCTGTGAAGTTACATGGTGGGAGATTTCCCCCTATGTTCTAAGTATGTGGAAACTTTAAGGAGCTGTGTTATACTTTCTAACCTGCCATTTCTGGCCCTTGCCAGTTATGTCACTGACACTTTCTGAGGCAGAAGCCATATTACCTCTTTCTTTGCCAGGCACACAGAGTATGCATGATTTGCTACCCTAGTCTGCTCAGGGAAGCAGACCTCTGCATTCTTATTTGCTGGAGGAAGTCATGAGTAGGCTAAGCCCTTAGGGGGTCCCCATTCCCTTGCCTTTGACAAGTTATGGTACAGACTTAGCCCAATTTTGTACTAGAGAACCTGATAAGAGTTTTGTTGGCAGCTTGCCAAGAAGCACTAACCTTTTGGGGGAACATGTTGGTTTCATTGGATTTTTTCCAGTCTCTAATTCACCTACTCGGAAACTTCTTGCCTCATATTGCTTTGATTTTTTTGCAATAATAATAAAGGCTTTATTATTTAAACAACTTTTAATCTTGGGGTTGATTCACTATATGAAGTGGTTTGAAAACAGAAATGGAATCTGCAAGATTATTATTATAGTGTAAGCACCATAATATGTGTATGTATGGGGAGTCCTTATTTGTGTGCCTCAAAGACCTAGTATGATGGAAGAATATTGTTCTCTTTTCAGTTTTGGCCTAATTTGAATTGTTTCTCAAGGCCACCCTAGGAAAGACTTCAGGGCTCTATGGTCCTAATTTGTAGACTGGATACTAGGATTTTTTGTATGTTAAGAGGACACCCTGAGGAGGCAAGGAATTGTGACAACCTTCATTGCTTATGAATTGTTTGTTGTTCACTGGGAATATCACAGAATGCCCAGTCCTGTTTGAGAGCAGTGTGTACCCTAGGTTCTGTGAAGCCAAGTGCCACCGTGCCCATAATTTAGTAGTCTAGTATCACTGTAAAATTTCAGGGGTTGCATAATTTGTACAGAAACACTGAATGTCGAGGAGACTGTAGCAAACTAGATGGATTGTGCTCCTTGTAAAATGTTCTAGTGATTGTACAGGAACAATATGTTTAGAAACTTTCAAGATCTCCAGGCATGTGTATTTTTTATAGCTGAGACCATTGTCAGAAAAACGAGCTAAAGATTTTGTGTTTCAGTCGCTTTTCTGGGATATTCACCTCAAGGCCATTGCTGCACATGCCTGGAAAACAAACAAAAAGAAGGGACGTTCCTTCTCCCAAGGACATGGCTCTGTGACCCACCATCATCCTGTGTGGAAATGAACTTCATGGTTCAACAATATTTGCTGCCATTGAAGGAAAGTTACCCTTCCCAGCTCCTCAGGAAAGATACTGAGTTAATACAGGCTTATCAAACCAAGTAATAAACTTATTAAACCATCATTGTAATTATCACAATTAACATATTGGTCACACCTAATTTGCCTCATGTGCTTTTCTAGTCTTTTCCTCCCCTCCCTGACCCTCAAGGCAACCATTGATTTACCTTCATTAGATTAGTTTGTATTTTCCAAAATTTTATATAATTTGATTTATAAAATGCTTTTTTTTAAATTCGTGACATAATTATTTTAACATTCTTTAGTGGTATTTGTGAGTTCATGCTTTTTATTGTATCTTTTCCTTGGATATGCCATTTGTTTCTCCATTCATCTATTTATAAGCACTTAGATTGTTTCCAGGTTTTGGCTATTAAAAGACAAAGCTGCTATAAACATGTATGATATTTATGTGTATACAGGTATCATTTCACTTCTCTCATTTTAATAACTCAAAGTAATGCCAGAGACACAGGTAGGTGAATGTTTAACTTACTGAGAAACTGCTAAGCTTTGTTTGCTTTTGCTTACTTACCAGAACTGTTGAGAATTACAGTTCTTCCACATCTTTGCCAATACTCGGTATGGTCTGTCTTAGATTTTGTCCTTTATAAAGTGTGCAGTGGTTTTAATTGTCTTTGCATAAGCATTAATGATGTCAAACACTTTTTCATGTTTTTATTTTTCACCTTTATATCTTTGGTAAAATGTCTATACATATCTTTTGCTATTTTCTCTTTGCTGGGAATCGTGTCTATTTTCATTAACAAATAGTACTTTTTTTTTTTGAGACAGAGCCCCAAGCTGTCGCCCTGGGTAGAGTGCCGTGGCATAGCTCACAGCAACCTCCAACTCCTGGGCTCAAGCAAGTCTCCTGCCTCCACCTCCCAAGTAGCTGGGACCACAGGCGCCCTCCACAATGCCTGGCTATTTTTATTTGGTTGCAGCCATCATTGTTGTTTGGTGGGCCTGGGCTGGATTCGAACCCGCCAGCTTAGGTGTATGTGGCTGACGCCTTAGCCACTTGAGCCACAGGCGCCGAGCCAAATAATATATTTTTGTTTCACCATTTTTTTCATATTACGCACATTGTAATGATCACATGTACCAAACACTTCTAAGTTTAATCTGTATTGTTCATAAGTTCTTTTTTTTTTTTTTTTTTTTTTGAGGATTACGCTTGGTAGAGTGCCATAGCATCTTACCTCACAGCAACCGCAATCTCAAACTCTTAGGTTCAAGTGATTCTCTTGTCTCAGCTTCCCACGTGCTAGAACAGCAGATGCCCTCCATAGCACCCTGCTATTTTTTAGAGACAGGGTCTCACTCTTGGCTCAGGTTAGTTTTGAACTCGTGAGCTCAGGCAATCCACTGGCCATGTCAGCCTCCCAAGTGCTGGGATTACTCCTGGCTATTTTTAGAGACAGGGTCTAGCTCTGGCTCAGGCTGCTCTCAAACCTGTGAGCTCAGGCAATCCCAAGTTCTGGGATTATAGGCATGAGGTACCGTGCCTGGCCTACTATCACATTCTTAAGTCTACACATTCATTAATACAGTAAATCAAGCCATGATTTGTAATGTTTGCCAATTTCCTTGGCAAACATTAATTATATTCCCATTGTGGCCAAGTTCCAACTGTTAGCATGGTATCTCTGAACTTGGACTTGGGAAGAGTTGCCAGACACATACCATTCTGTTTTCACCATAGCAGCAACAGAACCTGCAGGACATAGATGATAAAACATTAAAATGGTGTATGTGTGGTGGCTCACACCTGTAATCCCAGCACTTGGGATTGCCTGAGCTCACAAGTTTGAGACCAGGCTGAGCCAGAGCTAGACCCTGTCTCTAAAAAACAGCTGGGAGTTAGTGCGGGTACCTATGGTCCCAGCTACTTGGGAGGCTAAGGCAAAAGGATCACTTGAACCCAAGACTTTGAGGTTGCTGTGAGCTAAGATGCGACATCACTCTACCGAAGGTGACCAAGTGAGACTCTGTCTCAAAAAAAAAAAAATCGTAAAATGATTAGAAGTGACAAGTTTTGAATATTTACTTTAAAGACAGTTTAATGCAAGCACAATTAACACATGAATGCACATATTTAAATGTACATTTTTTTATTTTTGTACATGCTTACACGCCTGAAACCAAAAAATTTCTTGAAAGCAAATGAAAGACAATCTATGATGTTGGCAGTAATTCAGTTAAATTATTCAGCTAAATGTATCAAAAACAAAGCAGGCAAGATATTTGAAATACCGGCACTACTTGTAAGGAAAATCATAAACTTTGAGGATGGTTTTTTCACAATGAATGAGAATACAAATTAGCAATTGAGATGAATTTTTCCAACATTTTGGAGTCAAAGCCTGTTTTCATTATGAATCCACTGGAAGTTTGTACAAGATATGACAGTTAAGTTTGAGAACTCATCCTAGAAAAATGCTACATACCTCATTACTGAATATTACTTCAAGGCACTCCTCCTGGGAAGCTATGCACCAACGCTGGCAAGGCCTACCCCACCCTTCAAAGCAGTTTTGGAACTCCTTTTCTGGAATGGCCATCAGAGCTGTCATCCTGTTATCCTTGATGTCTTGAATGTCACCAAATATCTTTAGGCTGGGTATGATGGTTCACACCTGTAATCCTAGCACTCTGGGAAGCTGAGGCAGGTGGGTTGTTTGAGCTTACGACTTTGAGACCAGCCTGGCAAGAGCAAGACGCTGTCTCTAAAAATAGCTGGGCATCGTGGCAGGTGCCTATAGTCACAGCTACTTGGGAGGCAAAAGTAAGAGGATCACTCGAGCCCTAGAGTTTCAGGTTGCTGTGAGGTATGATGCCATGGTACTCTACTGAGGGTAACAAAGTGAGACTCTGGCTCAAAAGAGTAGGGCACCAGCCCCGTATGCCGGAATTGGTGGGTTCAAACCCAGCCCTGGCCAAAAACTGCAAAAAATAAAAAAACAAAAAAACTTCCTTTATATGTGGATAAAGAAGAATGTCACTGGGAGCCAAATCAAGTGAATAGGTAGGGTGTTCCAACACAGTTATTTGTTTACTGGCTAAAAACTCCTTTACAAGGCAGCACCAATGGCTCGAAAGGGTAGGGTGCCAATCCCATATGCCAGAGGTGGTGGGTTCAAACCCAGCTCCAGCCAAAAACTACAAAAAAAAAAAAAATAAAAACTTCCTTACAAACAAAGTGTGAGCTGGTGTATTGTTGAGAGCAGCCGTGAGTTATTGGCAAAAATTTCAGGTCATTTTTGTTTAACTTTTTCACTCAGTCTCTTCAGCAATTCCAAATAGTAGACTTGGTTAACTCTTTGTTCAGTTGGTACAAATTCATAATGAATAATCCCTCTGATATCAAAAAAGGTTAGCAACATCATTTTTACTCTTTTTTTTTTTTTTTTTTTTTTGAGACGGAGCCTCAAGCTATCCCCCTGGGTAGAGTGCCATGGCATCACAGCTCACAGCAACTTCCAACTCCTGGGCTCAAGTGAGTCTCCTGCCTCCACCTCCCAAGTAGCTGGGACTACAGGTGCCCACCACAATGCCCGGCCATTTTTTTTTTAGTTGTTGCAGCCATCGTTGTTTGGCGGGCCCGGGCTGGGGATTCGAACCCGCCACCTTAGGTGTATGCGGCTGACGCCTTAGCCGCTTGAGACACAGGTGCCGAGCTATCATTTTTACTCTTGATTTGGACTCACAGAACTTTTTGGTTGTGGAGATTTGGTTGACTTCTGTTGTGCACTTTGATGCTTTGTTTCAGAGTTGTGTTGGTTCACCCATGTTTCATCACCAGTGATAATACAACCCAGAACATCTTGCCTCTCCAAAAGGTCTTGGCAAACTTTTACTCTCCTTTATTTTGTTCATTACTGAGCTCCTTGAGGACTATTTTTCACACACCTTTCTCATGCCAACACTTTCACGTAAAGTTTTCCTGTTTATCAATGTTTATTTGGTCTGTTATGCTTCTCATAGTCAGCCAACATTTTGATGCACAATTCAATGACTTTTTTTTTTTTTTCTTTGAGACTGAGTCTCAGTATGTCACCCTTGGCAGAGTGCTGTGGTGTCACAGCTCACAGCAACCTCAAACTCTTGGGCTTAAGTGATTCTCTTGCTTCAGCCTCCCGAGTAACTGGACTAGGACTACAGGTGCTGCCACAATGCCTGGCTATTTTTTTGTTATAGTTGTCACTGTTTAGCAGACCTGGGCTGGGTTTAAACCCACCAGCCCCAGTGTATGTGGCGGGCACTATAACTGCTTGAGCTATGGGCACCGAGCCACAATTCAATGACTTTTTGCAGTTTTTTTTTTTTAGAGTCTCCCTATGTTGCCTTTGGTAGAGTGCCATGGCGCCACAACTCACAACAACCTCAAACTCTTGGGCTCAAGAGACTCTCTTGCCTCAGCCTCCCAAGTAGCTGGAACTACAGGCACGCGCCACAGGCTCAGCTATTTTAGAGATGAGGTCTCGTGCTGGCTCAGGCTGGTCTCAAACCTGTGAGGTTAGGCAGTCCATCTGCCTCGGCCTCCTAGAGTGCTGGGCTTATAGGTGTAAGCCACTACACCTCACTCCACCTTTTGGGGCTTTTATAACAGAAGGCCCTGGAGTTGGTTCAGAAGGCCAGAGAAGAGCACTCGCTTTAGTGCCTCCTGGAGAATCCTTGAAGGTGGTGGAAGCTCTGGCAGCTGCCTCCTGTTTCTTAGTCTCTGTCTTCACCAGCCATCAGGACCATCATCGTGGGCTTCTGGTACAAAAAGCTACCTATTTTGACCCCGTGTAATTAGAGAAACATCTGTGGACTGTATACTGGCCTCTTGGAGGCTCTCACAGGTGGATATACTACACCCAGTTGCCTGTTGGTCCCTGGGTCATGAAAGAAGCACCCCACAAGCTCAGCGTGACCATCATGGCCTTGATGTATCCCCCCATGGCCCTCTGGTGCATCCCCCTTGCAGGAATCAATGGCCTTTCCTGTCCTGTCTCTTGCCAGAAGCCATGGTGATGAAGGAGGTTTCCCTCTCCTGGGTCCTGGCTACCTTGGGGTACCGTCAGGATTAACTGAGTCAATAGCAGAGGAAGATCACATACTTTTCTGACAGAAAGGCCACCAGCACATGTGATGGAGCCAATCCAGAGGGCCTCTGCTTTTCTTCCTCTAAACAGGACACTCCAGATAAAGGGTGAGACCTTGACTAACTCAGGGCAGTCATCTCAGCATTGGACGGTGCCCTGGCCGATAACAGCCTCAGCTACATT